GTTGTTTTATTGCCTAAAGTGCATTAGGAGGTGAAGTTTTTTTTGTTTCCGCAATAGAGAGTTTTTGCGATTTTTTTCAGGTATTTGGTGGACTGTCTGCTCATCTGCTTAAAGACAGCTCCCGCGATAAAAGTGTCAAGGATAATTGCTGATCAATTATGAAACAGTAGCTGATAAGTAATTCCTCAATGAAGGAAAAAAGCAACAAGAGCCCTCAAGAACACCACAAACAAAATTGCTCCCTTACAGTTACATTACACCGCCCTGCGGTCCTGGGCAACCCCTGGCTCACAAATCGCTTTATGGCATTTCACAGTAGTGGACAACATCCAGTTCAAAGAAAAGAATATGAAAAACAACAAAGACACGAACGAAAAACACTTGAAAAAAGGAAAAATTAAAACCTGGCGTCCAATTTGGGTTACGTGCAGTGTGCAGCTTTTGGTGCATGTCGAGCTTTTGCACCACAGAAATTGCATCATTCGTGATTTTTACGCGTTTTACCTTACGAGATGGGTTGCAGTTGACTGTATGTGCTCCCAATGAATAAAATGTGATGAAGGAGAGCAGAATTATTCATGGGCACGAGCGCGGTCAGCAAAAAGTACATGCAGTTCCGATTAATGCCCGCCGTCCCAACAAAGAACAACTGAGCGGCTCTCCGTCAGAGGGCAGCTAGCAAGTGGGGCGGTCCAACTGGGCGGGCGTTAGAACTAGAACTTTGAGCGGCTGTAGCTCGCTCCTCGCTCACTGTGGAGTCGCGAGAGTGGGACAGTATCTAGCTTGGGGGCTGAACTACCTGCACAAGGAAGGACGACCATGTACTACTTGAGCGCGGGGGCTGTCTTTAATTGTATGCAAAGATCAGAGGAATCTACAATAATTTACCCTGTGCTTGCCTCATAAATAGTTGTTCCCTGTGAAGACAAGGAACAACTAATCTTGAGAAAAGCAGCCAAAACAGTGTAAATTAGGGAGAAAATGGCTAAAATAGGCTGGAAACAGCTGATCGCCTACGCTCGTGACACGCCGCAGCCGCGTCGCGAGTCGCGACGTCCGCGCACTTGATTAGGCGTGCCTTGGCCGCAGCCCTAGAAAATATCAAAGTGGTTCACTGAATGGTGTGGGTGCAACATACCTTTTCTTTCCATGGGACATGTATGCGCAGTGGCTGGACTGGACATTTCTAGCAAGATGAAGAGTATTATTCTAACTATGCGCGTCGACAGCTATCCAGCCATGTCGTAATGTTCAGACACGATTCTGCTATTTCGGAGTTTTATTAAAGCCTTGCGTATCAGGGACTAAACGATCGATGCGCTATAGTGCCTTCTTGTTTCACCCACATAATATGTGGCGCAGGTCGCTTGGGGAAGGAGGGGCATAGGCTGCGTTTATACTTGCGGCAGCGTAGCGTAGCGCTCCCAGCGTACCTCAGCGGCAGTGCCGAAGAGGAGGGATGGACATATCGATAGAAGTGAGAACGCTTCACAGCGTCCACCCAGCGCACGGGCTGGCGTACGCTAGCGTAACGCTAGCGTACGCCAGCGTTTTTCTCCAGCGTTTTGCTAGCGTTTGCAGCGGCAGGGGAGTAGAGACTATGGGAGAGCTGGAGGGTACAAAACACATCGATTGCGCGTCTCTCACTCGCCCTTAGTCTCTACAATGCACATCGCTTCTGCGTCTCCGACGGCCACATAGTCTCTACAATGCACATCGCTTCTGCGTCTCCGACGGCCACATGGTCTCTACAATACACGTCGATTCCGCGTCTCTCACGGCCACATAGTCTCTACTCCCTGCCGCTGCAAGCGCTAGCAAAACGCTGGTGCCGCTGGAGAAACGCTCGAGAAACGCTGGTGAAGCTAGATCGATAGCTATGCTTCCCGTGCCCTCGCTACGCCAGCGTGCGCTAGCGTGCCGCTGGCGTACGTCAGCGTGCCGCTGGTGACGCTGGTGAAGCTAGATCGATATGCCATCCTGCTCTTGGCGGCGAACTATGGCCGTGGCGTACGCTGGAAAGCCCGCTACGGGCAGCGCTGGAAGCGCTACGCTACGCTGCCGCAAATTATAAACGCAGCCATACATGTAGATTGCTTTTGAGTAGCCTACTTGATTCATACGAACGATATGACAAGCAACGCGATATCAGCAGTTCCATGTCGAATACCCAACAGCTTGTAACTGAATTGGTGCGAGCTTGCGAAAGAGAGGCAAGAAGCTTCGGTTGATAAGAGCATCATTTCTTCTCGCTTCGGCCATTTTCAAATGTTGAATTGCATGCAATTTTGCAAGTTGGTACCAATTAAGCGAAGAGGGTGAATGTTCGCATAAGCCTGAAGAAAGGATTGCTAGGCAGGGTGTGCCATCGCTTCTC